AGTGCATATTTAGACTAACAAATATATTGTCACAAGAGCCAATTGACAGAAAGTATGTCTTATATTCCTAAAAAGTATTGGAGAGACATATTTTTATCAAGCATGTTAAGGAACAAAGAGAAAAGCCTGAAAAAATGTTTTTCAAATTATTAGAGGAAATTATCAGCCTTAAATGCAATTTATTTACCCAATTATTGATCCAATTCAGTTAGATTCAATTCAAAAATACTTTTTTAATCCCAAAGGGAAATTAAATGTTGTTATAACTCATCATCCTGGTTTCATTAGATGATGCAGCACTTTGATTGCTTTAAATAACTTGATTTGCCCCTCCTGAAAAAAAAAAGTTGCTCTTTGCAGTATGGTCAACTGAAGGATGATGCATCTCTCTGCAAGGTCTTTCCAATCGTTTTCTTTATTTCTTATAAACCTTTACCTGTTGTTGATATGTTTTCACATATAAAACTTCTCCTGTTCTCCATTTGTCTGCTCGCCTCTTTAATTTCAGCACACACTACAAAAAATTCAATTATGGTTTGGTCAAGTATTGCACTGAAAATAAGGGAAAAAGCTGCCGAAGTACAAAGAAAGTCTGGAGAGCCATAGCTCAAGAACACCCTGAAAGATTTTAAACAGTCAGGCTCAGTGGAAGCAAAATATACTGAATGTAGGTGCAGGTTTCCATTGATTGAAGCTACTATAGCTCTGAGGCATCTCCTCATCATTAACACCATGCATAAAAATTCCACTGAGTCCTTAGTGAAGTTGAACACTTCTGTTGCAAAAATCAACAACTTGTACAAAATTAAAGAAAAGGAAGTCGGGACACATAGAGGGAGAGGTAAAAAATCTGTGTGGCTCCACTCTGCTGCACCCGACTGCTGATCATCAAAACACCTAATTTTACACTGCCACTGGAAGATAATATAACTCAACATCTCTAGTAAATCTTAGAATTTAATCACTTTAGTATTACAAAGTAAACTAAATATGACACCTATATGTTTATCATTTTAAATGAATCTCAGTGTATGAACTCAAAACTATACAGTTACATTTGTTAAACTGCATTAAGGCACCAACATTAGGAGTGGTTTAAAACTTTTGCACAGTGTTTTATGTTAGGCGTTCTCAAACTTTTTGGGTTCAGGGACCTCTTCTTACATGGGAGAAATAGTTTCAGGGACCCCCTCATAACCCTCATGCTTATAAACATTTTATTCAATTTGTCTCTTTAACGCAATGGACGTATGTGTAACATAAATACTTCAGACCTGTTTTTTAATTGTGTTAACACAATTTTTATACTTTTAAACATGAGGTATTTTTCATTCAAGATACACTGAATGAACTATTTTTTTAAATTTCAATTTCCAAAAATTACAGTTTTGAGAAAACTAACAGCATCTAAAACCACTTTAAAACTTTACCTATTCACATAATGAACATAATAAATGTATTGTCACTTCTTTAAATTATTACAGAAAACTCTTTAAATAAAACCGAACAGAATCATAACAGCAGTAGTTATATCAAGTAACAGGGCTTAATTTGTAAACCGATCAATGCCGGAACCCAAACTGTGGATGGAGGGGGCTCTCGGGGTCCTCCCTAGAAAATTTTTGAATAAAGTTGATGTGATTTCCTGCATTTTCATGTATTTTAACAGGTTGTTAAACATCTATGTGCTTGTATTTTAATTTTATTTTTATTTTTGTGGACCCCCAAACACTGACTCGCAGACTCCCAGGGGTCCAGGGACCCCAGTTTGAGAACCACTGTTCTATGAGCATGTTAGCATTCATTGTTATTCAGTAAATAGTGGCCAAAGCGTTTGCTGTTTATTCCATTTTCAGCTGTATTTTGAGGCCATTCAGTATTTATCTTCTTAGTGGGTGCAATGGTTCAGAGTATGAAGAAATATATCCTTCGAAGGATATAAAACCAGCTCCAAAAGTTCCTCAATGTGTAAATAATCTCAACAAACACTGCTTTGCTCAATAGCTCTCCATGAGGTTTTATTCCTGTGATATTCACGTAACGATGCAAACAACCGGTCCACCTCAGAACCCCAGCCCGCTGCGAGTCAGTGTGGACTGAGAGAAACGCTGGTTTAGCCTCAGACCGTGTTAATAACTGCTGCCACACCCCTCCTGTGGCCTGTGGTTATATAAGGGAGTGGGATGGATAAGGAAAAGCGCTGAAGCCGTTCCAGATTCTGACTCAGTCTGCCCTGCAGGCCTGCACAGTTTTAGGCCAGCACTGTTTATCAAATATTATGTTTGGCACAATGAAATTTAGCTTTAGAGCATGTTTCTGTTGCTGTAGCATGCTGCGAGTCATAGCACAGGGGCCTTGGAGGACTTATCAGCAACGATAGCGATTCTCTGCCACGAGAAGCTGCTGTGTAGTCATCA